GATTCCGTTGCGGTAATTTCGATGTCAAAGATGCACCAGGTTTTGCTATGTGTTTGGTGTTATTGTCAAGGAATCATCAACTACGAGCTGCTCTCTTATGGCCAAACGCTCAATTCGGCCCTCTACTGCCAACAATTGGACCGCTTGAAGGCAGCACTCATCCAGAAGAGGCCATCCTGGATCAACAGAGGCCGCATTGTGTTCCAGCAGGACAACGTCAGGCCACATACGTCTTTGTTGACGCGCCAGAAGCTCCAAGAGCTCGGATGGGAGGTCCTAATGCATCCACCTTAAAGACCGGACGTGGCATCAAGTGATTACCATATTTTCCTGTCCTGTCCGAACGCGCTTAATGGTGAGAATTTGGATTCAACAGAGGCCTCCGAGTTTTTTGCCAATAGGTATGCAGCTTTCTACGAGAGGAGTATAACGAAGCTGGCATCTGGTTGACAACAAGTTGGGAACAAAACATTGCATATTCGACTTAAATTGGACAAGTGAACACAAATTTATCATAAAAACCGAACGAACCTTTTACTTGAACTAACATGAAAACACCAGTGATTGTCGACAATTAGCCGCCACTAGACATCCATTATCAACTAAGCAGCACCGGCCGCTACGTACTAATATTCGAAAGGACAGGATTTGATACCTGTTTCGCTCAGTATCTAAAAATTATATATAAAATTAGTCTTTCTAATTGCGGTCGACACTCGGCAGGGAATGTCAATACCTCCGAGTGTATTTCTGAAATGAAATAAAATATCCTCATAAAATCTAACAGCTTTTATCTGTTTAGCCAGCTGCAGATCCCTCTATATGTTCACACGACATCAGGGTGCACAACACAAATTGGAGAAGGTGCTCGGCGGAAAATCGCTTCACCGCCCAATGGTTCCTGCAAGTACTCCCCCAACCGTGTGCATTATGCACAGCCCTTACTAAAACTGACTTGTTAATCGCATATCAAGTAAGTTGATAAATGTCTGTAGATTACAGTTATGTGAAAAATTTGATTCTCTTACATTTGAAAAAAAAAACAAAGAGAAAAAAAATTAATGAACACTAGAGTATTTGCAACAGATCACTCATACGCCAAGGCGTCCTTCACAGGCGAATCGTTTTGGTTAAATATAAATATGTATGTATGTATATAAAGATGGAAATAATAATAAACTAAAGCTAATAAGCTTAACGAGTAATAATAAGGAAACATAAATACACCAGAGCAGACCAGTCAACGGAGAGTTTTCATCAGGGCACACAAACAAAAAACAGTGGATAAACTTATAAATATTCTTGTATGCATGTATTATAATAATAAAAAAATACTCATACTTGCATGTATGTAAGGCAATAAATGCTTAATAAATAAAATTTCGTATGCCAAAGTGGCAATAAATGTGGGCTTTCTCTCTGCTCTTTTTCCTCTCTGCACTCAACAACGTCATCAATGTATTAATGCTGAACACGTAAGAAGCCGGGAATCAGCAGCTGAAGAGTGTTGGTTTGAGGGCGAAATAGAAGTGCGCGGAGGTTGCGGAAGCGAGGTGTTGATATTATATCGATTTATGAGTGAATTGTAAATGCGGCTGTGCTGCTGAAGGCGCAAGAAACACCCGCAGCGTGTCGTTGAATATTATCGTACAAATTATGCTATTTATGCGGCTGTGTGTGCCCAGCAGCTCTGGCTCGAGTATCCATGTTAAATTACGCAATAAACATAACTCCCAACGATATATTTAATGTTAAGACACAACTACTTTTGTGCTCCTTTACAAGTATTGCCGAGTTATCGGTTGAGAGTAGTGGATACTCAAGTGTTCTACATATGTATCTACATATATAATAGTTACATATAAATAGTCTTTATGTAAGTCACATACAAATAACTCGCTTATAAATTCATACATTTCTATGTGTACATATATATTTATACATATATATGTATATATTTATTAATTTATGATCGCACAGACTCGCGTTCTCGTTAACGCTCAATGCGTGACTATTAAATTGTAATCATAAATTTGTTGTTGTCGTATCTTTGCTGTCCTTGCTATAGCTACTTTCCTTCGTCCGCACGAATGTCAGTGGGGAAAATCGGTATTCATGAATATCCGCCTTAATCTCATGGGTCAAATGTATATATGTATATAAGTAAGAGGAGAGTAAAATTGCCGCGATAAGAGTAAATTTGTCGTTGACCTTGAATGTGTCGAAAAGTGGATCATAATTTGATTACACGCGCTAATTGATACAACTTCCTCTTTGTTCGCATAATTAATCAACAGTTATTTTTTTTTTAATAAACACGTGCGACTTGTACATGCGCGGAATATTAACAGAATATCGTTTAATATATTTTTGAGACTGCGCCTGAAAATATGCTATAATTTTGAATATGTTTTAAGTTCACATTTCTAGCACGAGAATTGGGAGAGCACAGAAATTAGATTGAATAAGAGTTTTTTATGTCATTATTTCAGACGAGGTAGAGACTTTGACTAGACCTCTTGCATAATTTGAATTCTTCAAAGGACTTCTGCATATGCTTTTGGTGGAAATTATTGAAGTAAAGGTCAAGTGTAAAGAGTTATTGTTATGCTTTTGGGTTAACAGTAACACACACTCCCTGGAAAAATAAAACACCCATGTACAAGATGCGGTAACCAACCCGCGGGGAGTCTAAAAAAGGTGAAGCTTCAGTAGAGCGTTGCTTCGACTTATTCGGCTTAAGGTTTCCCGAATTCTAACTGCAGCGTCAGTACACCACAGGCGCGTAACGTACTGGTGCGCTGAGCTTGGAACAAATCACGTAGAAACCATTTCCACTCTGACAAAGAGAACATAGCCTCAGATGAGTGACCAACTCAAATGTATTATAGTCTATGATTTAACCCTTTCCGTTCGACTTTCGAAAGAGGAATATATTTATATCTCCACAGGGTTGAAAGGGTTGGAATGCCCAAATCCTTAATTGGGAAGAGGCCGCTGCCAAGCTGGTGCATTTACTCATTAAAAGTAAGGCTGAGATCGCCACTATCGAGAGAAGCAGAGAAATGGATGCAAGTTCGGTGTTAGATTTGTTGTGAGAGAGAAAGAGAGATACTTGGCCATGGAGAAGAAGAATGATGTGAGCCTTAGGGCGTTTTAACACCAGGGTGGGGAAAAAGTCATCTGTCATCAAAAAATCGGCTGAGGTTAATTGACTTTACCGTGGCTAGAAATGTGGTCATCTGTATCACCAGATTTCGACACAAGTAACTTGGCTGCCACCGGATCGAGAGATTCACAACTAGATCGATAATAGTGCGATAGGCAGAACACATGTCTCCAGTGTCTCAGATATGCGTACCATTCGCGGCCTTAACATCGGCTCAAACCGAAACAAAAAACACAAGGAGGGTTAATCGTTAAAAAGCTGCAATCACCACAAACAGCTATGCAGTTTTCAACTCGATTCGCCCCCCTGCACTTTGATAGCACTCATCAAGAGCTCGGTATAAAGGAGCTGTGGGACAGCATATCCAGCTCCCTATATACAACCGCAAGCGAAACTATGGTTTTCGGAAAAGTCAACAGAAAAGGTGGTTCGATGAGGACTGGCATACTGTAGTGGAGAGGAAAAATTGCACATCTGGCAACGTTAAAGTCGACCGTAACAGGAATGTCCTGGAAAAGATACCAAAAATTGAAGGTGCAAGCAAGGCGTAGTTGAGGACAGACGATGTGCAAGTATGACGAACTTGAAATGACCAAAAGAGAAATGTCGAAAATCTAAGAGAGAATTAGGCGTCCTTCAGAAGGTTTAAAGACCAGAGTTTTTCCTAGGGGTATGAAGGAAATACTTCTTCAGTCTACAATGAAATTGAAACACCTAAAAATGGCGAGCTCGAATCCCTAATCGAAGCCGATGGTATAAAATGTTCCATCAACCGACTAGTTCGAATAGCGATTGCCCACCTAAAGAATAGCAAAATGACAGGAGTTGAAGATGATGAGCTTTTTATGAATGACAGCGAGGAGCTTTTTAAATTAACTGCATCAGCTTGTTTCAAAAAAAAGGGTATCCCACAGTCTGACCCAATTACCGTGGGATAAACCTGCTCTATGTAATATATAGGGTCCTATTTAGCATAATATGTGAGGAAGTGAAGCTCAACATCTATTAACTGATTGGACCTTATTTGTATGGATTTAGACCTGGCAAATCTATTATCGATCATATAGTCATCATGCCCAAATTCTGAAAACAGACCATGAATAAAGTATCGATACGCCCCAAATCCAATCTAACACAGTATTATTCTGGCCAACAGGTGCTACTTTGGACTGCGTAGGAAATTAGGAAGCCGGTCGATGGCAACATCTGAGGAGCTGACTTTAGGTGTTTTTGAAAGAAAGTTTTTTTTAGAAGATTTATGGTCCTTGGCGTATAGACTACCGCGAATACCGCAGATGATTGAACGATGTGCTGCATATATGAGGTACACATACGACGATATTGACATAGTTTTTGCGACTTAAAAGTGGGGGTCACGATGACTAGGTCATGTAGTTCTGATAGATGAAAACACCTCAGCTATGAACTCATTCAGTGCAGTACCGGCTGATGGAAGCAGAGGAGGAGGTAGACCTCTACTTCGTTGGAAGGATTAGATAGAGAAGAACCTGGCATCACGAGGGTTTTCCGATTGGAGTCAAACAGCAAAAAGAAGAAACGAATGGCGCATTGCTGTTAATTGGTCTACGCCAGCCAAGAAGAAGAAAATTAAAGAGCGATTTCCTGCTTTGCCTCAAGTCCATGCAGATTTCCCCCGAGATATTTGACTTTGGCGCAGGAGGCTTAAAGGCGCTGGTTTATTCCCTCTGGTGGAAAGTATAATTTTGAGAATTTTTACAACTTTGCGCTCAAGTCTGTGAGTGTGTGTGTGTGGGTTGGATACTATACATTTAACTAAATTAATAATATATTTAAACCTTGATTTACTTACTTTCTCAGCGTGGCCACAAAACTGTAAATATAAACAACAACAGCTGTTAGAAAGTACGCCATCGGTAATTTATAACCGCTGGGTTTGTTGGAATAATAACTGTAAAGATAAAGGAAGAAGCAAACAAATTATGATAAATTTTGCTGAAGTGAAGTAACTCCATAATCGCCTTATATGTACATATGTATGTATGTATGTAAATGTGAGTATGTGTACATTTGTAACTAATTTGTTTTTATATTTTTATTTTTATTTATTTTTTTTTTTGATTTTTTTTTTTGATATTTTCATATATTTACCCATAAAACATTGGCGAATATTTAATATAACCTTCGAATTCCCAAAAGGTAAAGAAATTCCCAGCCACTTTGTACTCGTGCTCGGTCATACGTTTACGCGAATCCGTTTCGTCTTTATTCGTTGCGAAATACTGTTGAAATGCAGGAAAAAGGAAAATGGAAAATACAAAAATAAAATTTCAACTTGATGAATTGCTGATTTAAAAGAGCGAGCATAAGAAGAAGAAGAAGAAGAATAAGAATACGATGATGCAGATGCTGAGGATGATGAGGATGACGAGGTAATACGGCGCGACGGCTGAGTTGATGAAAGGTAAGTACGTAATAAGTGCTTACAGACGAACCGAGTCGAGATGAGCTGCGTTAAGATGAGCAGTCAATTATGGGTATATGGGTGTAAAGGGTGTCTCTTTTAAGACGTGCGGTTTTCAATGCAAAACTTTACCCGCTAGACAGCACCTGAAGCGCATTCAGAATTGGGGAGGGCCACTCCAAGATATTCTACTTCAAACGAGGTTTCGGACAGTTTGACTCTTTGTCATGTGGTTTCTTCAATTTCATGCTGCATAGCTGAATGGAGAAGATACAATGTTCTATAAGAGTGAACAGTGATATCATAGGTCTTAAGAACCGCGCCGTTAGTTCTGATTTTCTCAGAGTGGACATAGAAGCGAAGCGGATGGATCTGGCAGTGAACTATCTTCTGCCATCAAACAAACAGTCATTGCATTCGAGACTTGGCTCCCACAACACTGTTGCCAGTCATAACTGGATGAAGTCGCAGACAATTTCATCTATTTTGGAACCAGCCAACCAACAACAAAGTCAGCCTTGGAATCCAACGCAGAATCAATCTTGCTACTTTGGACTGAGTATGCAAAAGAAAAGTACGTCGAACTAAAATCAAACTCTACAAATCAGTCATCATTCTCGTCCTGCTGTATGGCGCAGAGGCATGGACGATATCAATAATTGATGATTCGGCTCTGGGAGTCTTCGAGAGAAAAGTTTTGTGAAGGATTTATGGTCCTTTGTGTTTTGGCAACGGCGATTACCGCAGACGATGATATTGATATAGTTCAGTGAGTGAAGAGGAAGCGGCTACGCTGGCTAGATCATCTCGTCCGAACGGACAGACTTACTTCGAAACAATGCTTGCAAATCGTGCAAATGCCACACAGAGCGCGCCCAAGCCCAAGATACGTTGTACGATGTGCACCGAAGACGCTATTCTTGCTGTAGAGTGGAGTATTGAAGAAGACCCGAAAGAGTCCTTTCGCCATATCGCGCAACAACACGAGTTATGCCCATCCAATGTACGGAGGCTTTTGCGGAAAGATCTTGGTTTGCGGGCTTACAAATTTGAGCTCGTGGAGCGTGCCGTACGTTCGGGATGGCCATCGATAGTGATATCCACCAGCTCAAGCTTTGTTCAGCAAAGAAGCTCAGAATATATATGTATAATCGGCGCTTTGCAACCGCTGAACTGGCTGAGTTTCTTCTACAATTTCTGTTTTGCCTCATGCCACGGCTTATATTGTAAACCGCCGAAGGACTTTTGTGAGGAGCTTTTTTATTTCATTTCAGAAATACACGCCGAGGGCTTGACATTCTCTTCCATGATGTTGGTCGAAACAGGACTCAGACCCTGGCATTTCAGATGCTAGCTTGTCGTGCTAATCACTCGGCTATCGTAGTTGTCATTTGTTTGAACGGACTTAGTGATGGATCCACAAGCCCATTGTTGAGACGCCGTGGCATTTGGTTCGGTGCGCTCTTTGGGAAGAGCCATTATTTTACACTCAATGGGGAATACCAGAGAGATTTTATTGATGACTTTTTCGTGCCTGAATTGGACGATATAGATGTGGACGACCACTGGTTCTGACAAGAATGCGCTACAAACTTATTAGAGAAGATTTGTGGTGACCGATTTATCTCACGTCGAGGGCCTGTGACGTGGCCGCCAACATCTTGAGGCTTAACAACGCTGGACTATTATTAGTGAGGTTATGTGAAATCACTTGTCTACGCAGGTAAAGCCGAGACGATTGCAGCCTTGGAAGAGAATTTACGGCGCTTCATTACCGACATACAGCCCCACGCACTACAAAGAGTCTTCGAAAGTGTGGGCTCGGCTGGGCTGACATTTATTCGCGCTCGCCGCGAAATCATTTTTAAAACAAAATGGTAAATCTTTATCTCTAGAAAAATGTTAATTTTTGTGTCTTCACCATAAATTATATGCATTTTACGTCTTACTGGAAACCAAATGTATAAAAAATCACCCTTTATATATATATAATATGAGTATGTAAATATTGTAAGTGAGAGCATGATGATGTTGTGCAAATTTGACATTGACGAAATGATGGAAATTATTCAGCATAAATCTACGCGCACACATATGCACATACATACCTCGGGTCCAATGACGAAAGCTACTAACGGTATGGCAATCATTGTGTTCACCCACAATAACCAGCGCAGAAAGGTAAAGTGTGAGGCGACGCCGGAACCGAAATGCGATTCAATCTCCTTGATGCGCAGCTCCCAAGGGATTAGAACGGTGAGAAAACTGACGGTTTCGCGTTTCCAATGCAACCAACGCTGTGGGGGAGAAGTTCCAAGCGGGGAGTTTTAATGAAAATTTATTCAAGGATTGATAAGTAATTGGACGTTACGAGGTGTGACGGAAGAAGAATATGAGTTAGTATATGTATGTATGTATGTGTGTGTGTGTGTGTGAATATGTAGAATACGTTTGTTTAATAAAAATAAGTGCAATCTTTCAACAGGCTCGTTTATTTAGAAAATATTTTTCAAGCATTTCCATCTCCTTTCCTTCAACAGGGAAGAAAAATCGTTTACTCCTTGAAAATATTTAATTTTTGAATTATTTTGTTTTAAAGCACTCACAAGCTGGTAAGAAAGGACAAAAGAAAAGATTGAAAATAAGAATAAAATAAAATAAAAATTCTCGTAAACGCAAACTGCAATGACATTTTGATTGACAGCCAAGCGGCAGGAGGCAAAGCACTTAACCTCACTTTCAATAGACGCCGACGTAAGCAACATGCAAGCAATCACAGAAAACTATAACGGTGTCAACACAAGGGAAAATAGAAGCAAAAAAAAAAATAATAAAAAAGCAATGAAAAATATAAACAAAAACAGGTAACAATGAACGCAGTTGCTTTTGCATGACCGTTAAAATTTTTGTGTAGCAAATTAAATTGCAGCTCCGCTCGCTTGCTGTGTAACCGCAAATGCTTGTTCTGCTACATTTCTCCCAAGGGGCTGCGTTGTAGTGCAGAAAATCTCCTCTTACTTTGTGTTTATGCATTTTTGATGTACGCAAATATCTGCTCACACATACCTCCATACAAACATACAAATAAATTAAATAAACAGGTGCAGTTATACAGTGTTGGTCCTAGAAATGGAGCTTGCTTATATTTAAAGCAACTTTCGTGAGTCTGATCTCATATAGCTCATAGTTCTAACCTGGACTCATCTGATGTTGTCATTGTCCAGACCTCCCTTCCAGTAACAGGACGGTAATCATGAGGGACTTGTAGAGTTTGGTTTTCGTTCGTCGGGAGAGGATTTTACTTTTCACTTGCCTACTCAGTTCACTGTAGTACTTATTGACAAAAGTGATTCTTCGTTGGATTTGCAGGCTGACATTGTTGTTGATGTCAATGCTGGTTCCAAGACTTCAAAGTTATGACTGGCAACAGTGTTGTGGGAGCCAAGTCTCGAATGCGATGAGTGTTTATTTGATGACAGCCGATATTTCGTCTTGTCCCTGCTCCCTACTAGTCCCAACGCTTCGCTTTGTTATCCTACCTGGAGAAAGTTGAACTCACGAAATGTAAGGGATTATTCCACGGTAGTAGGCGCAGACCGCGGTAGCCGAGTGGTTAGCGTTGCATACTGACATTCGGAAGGCTCGGATTCATATCCGGGTGCCACCAACATCCAAAAGTTATTGAAAATTAATTCCAATAAAAAATTAAGTTGAATTGTCTTATTGCGGTCGCTTCTCGATAGAGAATGTCCACCCATCTGAGTATATTTCAGACATGAAACAAAGCTCCTCACAAAAAACTATAATCTATTCTAAAGACTGTAAACCACAAATTGGAAGAGCAGCACGGCCGAAAAATCGCTTAACAGGGAGGTCTTCCTTTTTGTGGTTTGTGTAGAGCACACTTGGAAGTCAATCGTCGGGTATGCTTTAATCAAAATATATTCCATAGATATAGATTGCCTGTAGACTCCTTACTTGACCTTCACTACCCTGGTTGAATAACTCTGTCAGTGAGCCGTCGATTCCAGTCTTTTTGGTGCATTTTAAGAGGGTAATATCTATTCGAACCTCTTGATAATCGGGTGATTGAACATCTTTATCATCATCATCGACTGGGGTTTCAGGCTCACCATCCCCGGGAGTTGCCTCCTCACTCTCATTCAGCAGGCTGGAGAAGTGTTTTCCCTATACACCAAGTATGTTCCGGTCTAAAAACCTTCTATTAATCGTCGCATCTTTTCATAGAAGTTTCAAGCATCACCCATGATTGCCAATTCCTGAAGCCCTTCATACTCATGTTTTTCGCCCTCGTGTCGTGATCGAGCGCATTGTCGAGATGTTGACATCCTGTGTTCCCTCTAATTGTTTCCATAGCGGAGGTGCGCTCCACAGTTCCCTTATATCGAGTTGCTGATGAGTGCTTTCAGAAAGAAGGTGTGCAGTCGAGTAGCAAAAACTTTGGTTGTCGGTTGTGAGTGCAGCGTTTTGATGTTGAACCTTTCTTCTGTTTGTTGGTGGACGTTCATTGCTGTATAGAGTCGGATGCATATCATTGCTGCTACAAGATGGTATATCCTGTCTTTGTACGGTCTTCAGAGCATACGCACGTCAAAAACACTGGAGATGTGCCATCCGTCTGTCTCAACATGATCCATCTGGTGTGAATTTTTTCAATTCAGAGACAGCCACGGAGCTAGATGAATTTTCATGTGCTGGAATCCAGTTTCCGGCGCCCCAGGCTCTTGCTTATGCTCCTTAAAGCGTTAGCGGTGGTCGTCATCATGGTCACCGAGACAATACTACTATTTCCTTGTAGCTGGTTTCTTGGGAGTGGATGCTCAATCCAGCGCATAACCTGAATAGGCGAGTAGGTTTAAATTTTAGACACACCTATATGGTCAGCTGCTTGCTTCTAGACTAATGTCCGCTTGCAGCCGTTCCTCTGGTCAAAAGGCACTAAATCTTGATGTCGGTCGGCATCCACTGAAGCTTTCTGTCATTTTGGTTGGTTACCGCATCTTGTACAAGGTGTGGTCATGTTTCCAAGATGGACCAAACAAACGTAAGAGTCTGAATTGAGTATATCCCTGCGACTGTAACTGCATACTCAGAAGCTTGACTACACACCATTCCACCCACATTAAATGTTTAGGACCAGAAATTTAAGAAAACTCTTCACCTGACACTGCATAGTATCCCTAGAGCTCCAGTCGGCAATTCAATATGGAGTTAGCATTTTCAAAGGAAGCGTCTTAAGATTTGGCCTCTTCTCGATAAACCCTGCAGTAGGCATTAGATGGTATAACATGTCTCTCTGAGTGTCTGCCCTTTGTAAGATATTCTCTAAGAAGACGCAACATTTTTGTGGGGACATAAACAAGCTCGCTCGTCATTTTCGTTCCAGTAGTTTTAATGTGATGGAAAGACTCGACAGTATGACCGTCAGGCGAGCACTGTTTTGGCCAGAGCTAAGCATAAAAAAGAATTTCGAACTACTTGAAAGAGGTTGGATATACAAAAAAACTTGATGCTTGGACGGCACACGAATTAATGAGAGAAAACCTCTTGAATCGTAATAAAATCGATGCAGCGGATGAAGGTGATTGGCTCACCTACAGCAATGTTCAACAAACAAGGCTGTGATCGAAAAAGTTGAGCCAACCAAACGGTTTCTAAGTCTGGATTGACGATTCTGTTGTATGTTTGACGGGCTTCTCAAGAAATTATCCACTATGAATAGTTCTCCTACGGCCATACTCTTAATTCGAACCTGCATTGTCAGCAATCTCACCGTCTAGAGGCAGCAATCTTACTGTCTGAAGGAAGCAATCGCCCAGGAGCGTCCAGCTTTGGACAACAGAAGAGGAATTGTGTTGGATCAAGACAAAACCGGACCACATAGTTTGGAAAATCGAGCAAGGGTCTCTATGAGAGAGACACAATGGTATTACATTCTCAATTAATAGACTGTTACTAGACCAATGCATGTGATTTTGCCCACCACTGTAAATGTATTAAATGCAGCTCTCTCTCTCTCTCTCTCTCTCTCTCTCTTATGTTATTTATTTGTTGCACTCATTGTTGTTGCTGTTCCTGTCAATTCCATGCAAATATACAACTTCGCACGGTCATGTCACGCGCCAATTCCACTGCATTTATGATGACTTAAAAAACTTTAAGCGCTTTTGTGGCCAACTTGATGCCGCAAGTACTCGAGCAGCGAGTACCAGCAGACCAAGTGGCAACCGAGTGCAGACGGAAGGAAGCATATACTCGTATGTATGTACACGTATGACAGCACCGTCGCCAGGGCGTCAATGCGAGTGAAAATAAAAGCAAAAACCAACAGAAAGTGAAAGTTCATGTTGATGTTGGCTTTCCAAGCATTTATATGCTTTTCCATAAAATTTTAATATTTACAAGCGTACAAATGTATGTTTCTATGTATGTATGTATGTAAGTATGTGGCGAAATTGCATGGCTGCTTGAGGTAAATTGCTACAATGTGACAAAATAAAGGAGAGCGAAACTGAAGTCAGTCATAATTTCCGTTGCAGTAACTGTAAGTGGAAGTAGAAGTGGAAGCGGAAGTGGCAGGTAAAGGGGAGCGTCGTCTAACCGCACTGTGACACATATGGCTTGTGACGCACTTAAAGCTTTGGGGGGGGGGGAGCAATATAGATGCCTAAATCCGCCAACGACTCCGCGTGCTATCAAATTGCTAACGGAATTTGCGAATATTCACATACATACATGTGTATGTTTGTGAGCCTAAGCTTGCCTATGTGCAAATAAGAAAGGATGCAAATTACAAAAGCAGATAAATGAAATTTGAAAACAATAATAAAAGTGTATGTGCAGGTAAAGCGAAAAAAATGAGAAAACATAACCTCAATAATACGTATTTTCACGTGATACTGGCTGATGTGCTGTGGCAGCGTAAAGTGCCGGATGTGTTGAATGCGGATATTGTGTGTACGTAAATATATATATATATATATATATATATGTGTATGTATAGACGTATAGGAAGAAAACGCAGCAGTAGAAAGTTCACTTACCGCTGCCATTAAAATCTTAAATCTCGCCCACAAATCTCTTGTGCTTCGCGACATGGCGAATCTCTCCTGTAGGGCACCCTCGTGTCGGGCCACATATGTCTTGGCCTTAAGGTGTTGCGCACGATACACGCAAGCACGTTTTCCGTAATTCCCATTTCATTTCCGTCCCAAGAGCGCGCCCAAGTGGGAGAGTCACAGGTGATGTGAAAAGTGAGAAAGTGAAAAGTTAAAATGTTTGTTTTTGCTATATTTTTTTTTCTTTATTATGAAACATATTGAGTATTTGTTTGGAATACTCAAGTAGTTAAGTGTTAATCATTTCAGCCGGAAGCGCGTGGTTGGAGTTTGTGGGCGCAGTTTCTTGTGTGCATTGCTTTTATGTGGAACGTGAGAGAATTTGCATAGATTAACCGTTATCATATCTACTTTCTTTCACTGCTAGCATTTCATTATATAAAAATTTTCGTATCACTTTGCATCAGTTAAAGGTTAATTTTGTTGGAAAATTGTAGTTTACTTAACACTTTCTGCTCTGAATTTTTTGGGAGAAATTGAAAAAGGTTCGCGAAAGCCTGGACTTTTTATGAAAAAGTTAAAGAGTTTTTATTTTTTGGAGTATCGAATTAGTAGAGACCACTTTTATTATACCCTCAAGAGTAATTAAGGAAACACTCTTGCTTTTAGTGGAAACTCTAGAAGCAGCCCACGCAGAGTGTGTCAACTTACCGTGTTTAAAAGGTTTGCTGCGCTGCAGAAAGGTTAACTCGGAGTGGAAAATAGCTAGACTCCTCAGTATAAGGCGTAAAGAACACTTAAAAGTGGGGTTCTGTTACTACTCAATTCAAAGGAAAAGCACACAAAAAAATACTGTAGATGAAACACATAACTAAAGTAGTTACGGGGAAGTTGTTGTACAGTACGTAACGTAACGGAAAACACTCTAAGGATCATAAATCATGGGTAGCATCAGCCAACATAAAGGTTAATGCTAACAAAACGGAAGCAGTGCTGTAAGAGAGTGCAAAACACCTGAGGCTCAACGGCCTAAGCTATCAATCGAGAATCTTATCGAATACCTAAGTATAGTAACTGATTTGGATTTTAATATAGAGGAAAGCTGAAAGAGAACAGAAGTGCTCTTTTTGCATGGAAAAATAATACTAGGCACCACATGGGGCCTATACTCAAGCCTCTGGTGGACGGCCGCCTGCAAAATCATTGAAGCGATGACAGCAGAGTCTTGCTGCACTGTGCTTTAGATGGGCGCTAAAGATCCCTTCAATGGCGGCGCTTGAAAATTTACTTCATCTACCAACAGTTGACATCAAAGTGGAGTGCTCTGCAGAGAAATCAAGCACGATATTGAAAGCCTTAAGTGAATTCTATGGTGCAACCTTGGAGAGCACCTCGATATGGTGGAAAATAAAGACTGCATATCCCCCCGCTTTACCTGGGAAAACATTTTTCACGCTACGTTTAAGACAAGCGACTTACGCAGGAACATTCGATCTGTCGGTGAAATGGATAACATTTATATCATTGGATAAAATATAGCTGATGGAGTAGGTACCAAAGTCTATTATGCGGAACTAGATCTCTTCAGTCTTCCCGAGTACAGCAGTATTTTCCAGGCGGAAGTCTTCCTTGTAGCAGAAGTTATAGAAGTCACTTAAAAAATATCAACCAATCCTGCAATTAAGCCAATAATCTCATACCGTACTGCGACAGAAAACGTTCTTAGAAATGTTTTCTGAATACAGAATTGAGATATTCTACAATTAAGCAACTGGTACAAATTACATCTTTACTTTTTCACGTGTTTCTTGTATTTCTCTTCTTCACCTCAGAAATATCTCCACTCCACACTTACCGGCTCATTAACTAGTTGACTTACCCACTGACATTCTCAAATGATTGGCCACTTAATCACTCACCTGTCGAACTAATTTCAGTTTTTTTCTCATCGGCCATGGTTGCAGTTTCACTGATTGTATAACCTCTTTGTGTAGACGGATGTTTTCGAAGATTTGCTCTTGTGTTGATTCCTGATTGGTGCCTTCATCTGTGCGTGGGTTTTTCGTTTAATTAAGTTATTATATTAAGTTAATGAAGTAGAAGAAAATAAACGTAAAAAATATGGATCGATAATAATCTAAAATAAAATAAAATAAAATGAAAAAAATAAAATAAAATAAAATAAAATAAAATAAAATAAAATAAAATAAAATAAAGTAATTTAAAATAAAATAAAATAAATTAAAAAAAAAATAAGAACGCCCGTCAATAAACACTAGAAAGTTGGACGTTGAAAAGCTGCAATCACATCACACTCCCGAACGGTTTTCTACTTGACTTGCACTCCTGCTCTCTGAGAGCACTCATCAGCAACCCGGCATAAGCGAACTATGAGACGGCGTTTAAACGCAACGTTGCGTTCGACCACACTACGTCCGGTATGGTATAGGTACCAAGAGCAGAGGAGGGAAGCAGTACGCATCTGCAGACAAAAAAGAAAGGGGCCGAGATGCATGAGTATGAAGAGCATGACAAGTTCGCCGACAAGGGTAAAGCTTGAAAATTCTATGAGAAGATACGACGACTTACGGGAGGTTTCAAAACCAGAGCACACTCTTGTAGGATACAAAGAGGTGATCTTGTAGGACACAAAGATGTGATCTGGCTACCAATGTATAGAGTAAATTGAATTTATGGACGGAACACTTCTCCAACCTGTTGAAAAGCACTGAAAATGGAGAATATGGAGATGGTGAACCCAAAACGCCAATGTATGACAATGGAAAAGACGTACCATAACTAGACCACGAAGAAGTTCGAATAGCAATCGCCCGCTTAAAAAACAATAAAGTGGCGGGAGCTGACGGCCTGAAGCCCATCGTAAACAAACTGGATGGACCGTATCAGTGCAGCTTTAGACCAGATTTTCACCATGCGCCAAGTCTTGGAAAATACCCGTGAAAAGAGGTTCGACTCACACCACCTCTTCGTCAATTTTAAAGCTGTCTTCGACAGCACAAATGGGAGCTGCTTTAACGGCGCTATGTCTGAATTTGGTATCCCTGCAAAACTTATACTGATCTGTAAACTGACTTTAAGCAACCCTAAATATACCGTCAGAATCTGGAAGGACCTCACCAAGCCGTCCGAAACCAAACGAGGTCTCAGACTGGGTGATTCCTTATCGTGTGGCCTTTTTAATTTCAGGCTGGAGAATATTATATGAGCTGCATAGCTAAATAGAGGAGTTACAATTTTCTATAAGAAAGTACAGCTGCTAGCGTACGCCGATGATATTGACATTATTGGCCTCAACAGCCGTGCCGTAATTCCGATTTCTAAAGACCGGATATGGAAGTGAAGCGTATAAGTCTTATGGTGAACGAGGGCAAGGCGAAATATTTCCTGTCATCAAACAAACAGTCGCGACTTGGCTCCCATCTCACTATTGTCAGTCATAAGTTGTAGATAACTTCATCTATCTTGGAACCAGTCTTGACACCAACAACAATGTCAGCCTCAGCCCGTAAATCCAATGCAGAATAACCCTTGCCAACAGTTGATACTTTCGACTGAGTAGAAAAATGAAATGTAAAGTTCCCTCTCGACGAACGAAAATCAAACTTTACAAGTCCCTCATCGTTCCCGTCGTACTATATGGTGGGGAAGCATGGACGATGACAACTTCGGATGAGTTGGCGTTAGAAGTTTTCGAGAGAAACATTTTGCGTAAGATTTACAACGAACCAAGAAGCAGCGGCTGCGTTGCCAAGGTCATGTGCTCCGGATGGATGCGAGTCCAGTTTTGAAAGTTTTCAATGTTCTATGCAGTACCCGCCAGTGGAAGTAGTGGCAGGGAAGGGCCTTCACTCCGTTGGAAACACCAGATTGGGGAAAACCTGACTGAACTTGGTATTCTCCATTGACTCCGAAAGACGAAAAACAGAAATAAATGGCGCAATGTATTAAGCTCGGCTATAATCGCGTAAGGGGTGTCTACGCCCGTAAAGTAAGTAAAGATACGTAAAACCAAATGCGAGAAAGATAAATCAAATTAGAAATAGTCACGTACGGCCAAAGCCAATTCGTTTGCCTTTACTTTGATTAGAAACTCTCAGATGGCATCGCCGTCAAGCACACAAATCTGTCACGACACATTCCTGCTGCCAAATCCACACACATGCACACTTTTGTTTAAGACACACACCCACATATACACACACGCGCATTTATGACATTAGACGACTTTTAGCCAACAACTCAAAAGGATCATATCGAAAGATTTGTTTGCTTGTTGGCCTAATTTTTGGCTTAACTTGGCAAATTTGCTGCGCCGACAACTACAAATGAGCATGTAATTTGTTTGTGGTCATAATACACACACACCATCACACGCGGACAAAGATATCTCTATATACATGAATACTGCCGCTGATAAAAAGCAGGTACAAAAAAGAAAAAAAAAAACCAAAAAAAAAAAAATCGCACGAAATTAAAGTACAGTTAAGCTTTACATCAGCCTCCTCTACTTGCCTGAACTCGTTGTATAGACGCTAGAGCGTCGCCGCTCCACCGTATCCATCAAATGATCCATTGGACTGGAAGCTCTACGCGAATAACGACTACCACGCTTACCCCTATACCCACGTACACTGGCACGTCGTTGAATTATCGCCGATACGGACACGGAATAGTCCTCTTCATCGTCTATCTCATCCTCGTCGTTATCGTTGTCTTCACTATGCTTGTTGTTATTGCTATCGTTGTTGGCACTGACACTAGCGTTGCCACCAATGTAACCTTCATTCAATTGTTGTTGACCTTGAGGCAATGATTCTATACGCAAAAAATAAAGAAGAAGAAGAGAAGGCAACAGGATATATGTGTGAGAGAGAACATAAAAATAAGTTCATACGGAGTTCATGACAGCGTTCATGACAGCATGCAATCGGTTAGTTAAACGAAATAATAATGAACATTGGAAATGCTTATCAATACACGAACAAAATATGTGCGAGTTCATCTCTATGTGTCGGAGTGTGAGTACAGCGCGGAGGCGAGAGACTGAGCGCAAAAGTGCAAAAATGAAATTTCGCATTCGTCATGGCGCTTTGGCTGCGAGCAAAACGTGATTCAGTGCTGTTGGCAGCGTATGTGAGCACTTAGAATTCTACGCAGCATGCAGAAACGGAAATCAACAAAAATAAATAAATAAATAAAATAAAGAAGAACTAGAAAGTACACCCGAATATGCTTTTTATGTGAGTAGCCTTATTTTTCTTTTCTTTTATGTGAAAAATTATTTACTCAGAAAGTATGATTTACTCTCATCTGATTAACTCGTTGGCTTATAGGGGGAAATTAAGGGTATACAATATCATATCGCAATAGTTAATTTCGGGGTTAATTTTGATAGATTAAGTCACTAAAATTTCTTGTAAGCCTAGACAAGGTTACCTCGCCGAGAGGGCGACAGCGCATCGTAGGATAAAGTCAATAAAGTCTGACTCAACTCTGATGAGTGTAGGCTGTCATGAGCGTTTCGAGTAGGTAGTAGTGGTCGCTGAGCATCACCACACTTAGGCTATACTACGAGCCCGGTGGATACCACTGACCAACTCTAAAGACCACAAATACCAGTTAAACCGAGGTGTGGCGTGAGCAAAGTTGAAGTACTGACGTAAATTCACCACCTTAATTTCACTCAAATCTCTAAAAATTTTCATACTTAGAGATTTTAATTCCTGTCATTCATTCGCTAAGAAAGTTTTTTAAGTTTTTAGGTTATACCATTTCGGTAGCACTCGTGCATATTGAGGTCGACTTAGAGATTTTAATTGACTCCGCCATTGTGCCGGTATTCTTTAAGTGTAGTTTCGGGCGCTCCACTTCGCTTTAACGCTTTTAAATATCCCACCCAATACAAGACATTCTGTAAGAAGACCCATATTTACAAATATGTACTATATTCTTCAGCAGGAAAAGCTGTTGTGATATTCTTTTATTCTACGTCGGATAAATTTTCAGATGCCATGACGACAGTAGTAAGCAGAGAGTTGAAGAGCGGCATACCCAAACACTTCATGATGTCAGAAGTGGAGAAGAAGTTAGCTCGTGAGCTATCTTACTTCGTCCAACCAGGCTGAGACAAAATGCAGCCATCTAGACCTTCGGTATTTTAACAATGAATGGGTCGGTCGGTGTACGAGTATAATCGGCTTTGACAAATGAACAAGTTTTATTTAGCCTAAATGGTCCACCCTGTACAGGTTAGCAATATATATATATTGCATACTTTTCGGTGTCTATTTTCCTACAGCTTTCTATCAACACCGCCAGGTGCCATATAACCGTCAACTGAGCAGTAAACTGCTCGAATACCTGCATGGGAAATTTTCGTTTAGCAATTCTCAAACGACTCGTATACCCTTCCATATAAAAATAACCCCCCCCCATTATATATTAAAAAGGTGGAGATTTTTTAAAGCTTTTCACAAATTTTGTGTAAATTTCTACGAACTGAATTTTTATTGAGAGTGGTCATATCGAAATTTATTCTACTTTTATCTTCAAAAATCAAAAGTTAAGAAAATAAATAAATAAAAATATACTATGTATACTCTTCGCCAATCAAGCAGCCGAGCGCCATAACAACAGTAATAATGTGGCTATGTGTGCCATTAATTTTGAGGTTAAATTCGATCAAACGATGTACACTTTTACACTTTTCCAGCAGCCTTTCCTAACCTCAATGCCCACTTTTTATATGTATGTTTATATGTTTGTGTGAAACGTATCACTTCAGCTCGATTAAATTTCAACTTACCAATACCATCAACTGGACTGGCTGTTTTGCAGGCAAACTCGTAGGGTTTCTCTTCCTGCGAACTGTATCTGCGTTGTGTGTGTTACCAGATGGACCATGAAAGCCATATATACATCCATACAATGATCGACGTTCATCCATTTCAACACATGCGTGTTCATTTATTTATGTAGGTGTGCGTTTGATTTTTGTTTTTTTTTTTGGTGAAAGCGTGAAAGTATAAATGAAGAAAAGTGATTTGAGATTTGCTCTGATGACGGTGGTTGTAGTACGCGTACAACAACACACGTTTGGCATGTTTGGCTACTGAAATTGGTTTATTTTCGTTTCGTTTTAATATTTTCTATGTTTTTTGTTGGTTTGGTTTTGGCCCGTGAAATCAATTGATTGCAAAAAGGTCACATTAATCAGACATGCAACTCCCGGGGGTATAATATGAGAGTGTCGATATGTATGTTATATACATACCTACTTTAATTTAAGTTAACGCAGGCTAAAATGTTTGCTGATATAATTTTTGATGTGACCAGCGTGGAAGCTAAAGTTAGAGAGCATTTTGTAGTTTCAATGGTATTTGCAGACAAAACAGACTTCCCAAAATACTATAGTTACATTTTTTTTATTAGTTTTGAGTGCAATGAAATGCGTTTGAATTTTTTTTGAATGATTCATGCTAATTTTTATTTTTTTTATTTTATTATTTATGTCTAAATTTTTCCCTTTTTCAATATTAAAATTATTGTATTAATTATTTATTATTTATTATTTTTTATTAATTATTAATTATTAACTATTAATTATTAATTATTAATTATTAATTATTAATTATTAATTATTAATTATTAATTATTAATTATTAATTATTTATTATCAATTATTTATTATTAATTTTTAATTATTTATTGTTTCTTATTTATTTCTTTATTTATAATTTGTTATTTATTATTTATTATTTATTATTTATTATTTATTATTTATTATTTATTATTTATTATTTATTATTTATTATTTATTATATATTATTTATTATTAACTATTTATTTTTTATTTTTTATTATTTATTATTTATATAATTCAAATATATATTTTTTTTAACAACTTATAACCACCTCCTTAATCTGCCGCGCAACAAACTGGCATCCGCTGACTCGGATCTTTGTCTCCAATCGTGCTCGTGAGTATCGTATGGTGGTGTAGCCCAAGTTACGGACAACTGATGAGGTGATGTGGTGTCCTGCCGTAAAAAGAAATAAAACAATAAATTAATTACGGAAAGTAAATTAAAAAAATTACTAAAATTAAAATTTTTATTTATTTATTAATTTATATTTAATTTATGTTTTCATTTTAACTATTTTAATATCATTGATGAAGTAGGCGCTGTAGTCAAAAGTAGGCGAAAGTCTTCGCTAGAGGGGAAGCTGTTGCAAACTTTATAAAAATAGGTCGATAGCTAGACCACAATTAAAGCAATAACCTAAATTCTTTTGAATCATAAAATGTTTTCAAAGCAGGAAAGTAGTATACAGTGCCGCCGAGTGTAAATGGTTGCATATATACTGGGTACCAGGCCATAAGGACATTACACGTATGTACAAAATAGAAGCTGGCGAAATCGCTCAGGGAATAAGAAATGATCTATAATGAAATATGCGAATGAGCTGGATGCTTCTAATAGCAACAAAGGAAACACCAATTTTTTGTTTACACGCGAACGTAAGGACTAGAAAAATTCTAGTCTTCCGTTCAAATTTCCGAGCGATCGGCTAAAACGGAAACGAGGAAACGTAAGATAGCAGTGGTTAAGTCAGACGAAATTCCACCACCAACGCAAACAGAAATTAGCAATGTGATTCTTTTCGGATTTCGGCGTAATATACAGTCAATACAAATATTCAGTGATTGCCAAATTGCATATGGAACGATTGCACCGTCTTTAAAGACTATTTCTAAGTGGTTCCAAAGTTTCCAGTCCGGACATTCGGTCGACAAAAATCTTCTAACAATGAAGTCACTGTAGTTCTGGTGAAGTCCAAAACTGACGAAGACCCACGTGTGTCGCGAATATTAAGTAATCATCTGGGATACACGAAGAAATCGGCTCGCTGATGAGGCCCAAAAAGAGGCTCGAGTGCAGTTCGCTCAATTTTTTCTGAAGCAAATTGAAAATGATAAGTTTAACAGCTTTAGTAAAATCCCTACTGGTGGCGATTCTAGGTTCACTAAGTACGATCCAGAAACCAAACAGCAGTCCTTGTATGGAGCCCAACAGGAGCAAACCCGCCCGTAAAATCTAAGCAACAAAAATCAGCAGCTATTCTCAGCTTTCTTACTTCACCCGGCCTAAAACAGTAGCTGATATTCCACAGGAAAAAGGGTCCGACGGTAAATCCAAAATTATACACCGAGGAGTGATTACCAAAAGTCTTCAAAAATTTGTTTGAACACAGGGAGAAAAAAGATTTGTGGCGCTACTTTTTACATCATCACAACGCGCCATCCCACACTGCTGAAATAACGGTTAATTTTAATAGGAATTCGAAGAAATACGTCCAGCACCATATTTTCCAGATACAGCGCCTTGTGATTTATGGTTATTTCCAAAAACTAAAAAAATACTTAAAAGGAAAGGTCTTTAATAGCAACGAGGAGATAATTAATGCGGTTAACGTTCAACTTGATAAGCTTCAAAATAGGCTTAAGAAAAACTTTGAAATCAATGACGATTATGTAGAGGACATAAATAAGGGCAGAGATTAATAATAAATGCGAACATCATTTTTGTTCTTATAATCAACTTACCGAACTTTGGTTATATTGGTAATGCATAGTTTGAATAGCTACAGGAGGCTTCGCAAAAAGCATCGACTATAGGACGACCGATAGCAAAAAAATAAAAAATAAAATGAAACGCATCATCGGGTCTATGTAACACTAAAATGGTCAAATAGGGTTAGGAATGCGAAAACATAGCCTATCCATCCGAAATGGCTACTTGACCTTACCTATATATGTCTGTTAATTACATACTATCGCTTCTCTGGTGACCGAGTAAGAGCGGCGCAGAGAAAATTTATATGCTCTGCTAACTGTCGCTATCTTTCAATTTATTCATTCAAATTCCAGAAGAGCTAGACAGCCGCTAAATTCTGATTTGATAATCTCCTTTCAAAAAGCGCTCAAGAGGGAAACGAATCCGAAAATCTAAAACAAGGAGCGATAGCCATCTTTAGAGACAGCTCAAAACTCAATGCTAGGGTAGGATGAGAAATTCACTCTCCATTATTCTCACTCAAATTGAGCATGAGATTAAAGTGCAACGTTAATTATCATGGCTTTTATATTATTCCAAATAATACCAAAGCTATCTTAAAACGAAGAAAGGCGATCTATCCTTCATGGCCATATTAAAATTATGATATTTATTTTCAGGAATAAATATTAGTTTTCATATCTGAACAATTGCTTATGGGAGACCAAATTATCGGTGCCAATGCTTATTTTTATAAACGTGTATAGAATACAAAATCTCAAGCTCTGAGATGCTATTTCGACGGATTTCTGACTCAAATTCTCAAAAATCGGTCGTATACGATTATATGGGGTTATCCGTTTAGTGGTTCCAAAAGGACAGGACTTTATTTTGATACCTATCAGGCTTAACTGTCAAACTAAACGGGTTTTGTTTTATTAACAAGTCAGGCATTTATGAAGTGAAATAAACCGCTAAAGCGCTTAAGTATCTCCAAAAAACTTGTTCTTTTCAAAGAAATTTGATTTATTCGAAAAAAAAATTTTGTAAATCAAAGTTTTTGTAGATAAAAATACAAAACAAAATATTATTTAAAAAGATTTTTTTTCTAATTGTAGGTGAGTGACACGATAACTGTAAATGAATCATCTGAAAGCAAAAATCAAAAGTGTTTCTTATTCTTTATCACATTGACTATTGCCGGAACTACAATAAAGCATTTTCATAAAAAACAGAAAGAAACTCGGACTTTTTACTTTTTTTTAACCTTTTTTTCAATTTTAATTGTTTAAATTATTTTTAAATAACAACGAATATTTTTGGTTGTTTAACCGACCATGGATAGACATTTTAGGAGTAAAATGCCGCTCAGTTCATGTTGATAAGTTCAATAGGTTTTAAATAAGAATCTCCGCCAATTGAGAAAACCTGGGTCCGAGAACAAGACAATTAAAGTACTCGAGCGGCCGGATTTACCGCTTGGTGCGCTCCGCTCTCCCCTCTACCACTTACTTCGTGGTCTTGCCGATCTTCGGGATTAATTCTACATTATTTCTAAGACTATTTTCTAGCAATTCAGGACAAAAATTGAAATTATTTTGATAATTTTTTAGAGTTACCTGGCCTTAAGTTCGCTCAAGACTTTATCCAAAAGCTATTCAAAAATATGCTTTCAAAATTTCAGTGGCCAAATTGACATCGACTTTGGAAGCTAAAGCAGTTATAGTTCCCGAGCGCTGAGCAAGTTCGTATTTTCGGGCAGAACTTTAAAGAGTTTTTGACAAGTTTTAGACAACGCTGCCAGTGATAGTAAAAAGAATATATGTCCCATCAAAAAAAGTATTTTAACTACAGTATTATATTAACTTCTGCTTATACTCAAATACTTGGAAGTAAGTATTATTTAAAACATTTTTTTTTGCAACTTGAACTCAACTTTTTTTTTAAACTTCAAAAAATTTATAATTTTCCAACTTATTTTTTTAGTTCAAAAAAAAAAAACTAAAAAACGTACGACTGTTTCAGATGCATCGCACGACCTCCATCACCGGCACCGTTACAAGAGATCAAGCTGCGGACGTTTCAGAAAACTCATCACAACACTGGAAAAATCCAATACTTGTTAGTACTAAAAATTGTTTTTGAAGCTTAAATATTTGACATAATTGTCTGAAAATTTCATTTCCGGCAAGAATTTTCATCTTTTTCATAAAAAATTGTCCATGATACCAAAAACAAGGTAGTGTTATTGTGATATATAAAGATTTTGCTTTTTTGAAAAAGAGTTTTTCAATTTTCTAAAATTCAAAAAATAATTATATTACAATGTAAGCAAAAAAATAAAAATAAAAATAGAAATAAGTATAATAAAACTACTCACAAAAATTTCTAAGGCTTTGCATTGTTGTTTCTGAAACCTAATGGAAATAAATTTATTTTCAGGCGGCTTAGCATTTGTTTTTATAGAAACAATCAATGCGAATTTAACAAGGTGAAGTTACTAAAGCTAAAGGCAGTCAAAAGGTAGTCAAAATGTTTGTTTACAGTGTGATATTTTGTTATTTTTATTTTGAATTCCTATTTGTATAGCTGAAAATTTTCAAATAAAATAATGTGTTCCGATTTTGATTTGAGTTGAATTAATGCGGCTAATAATCAGTGACCAACGCACTTAGGACAATATGCCCATTTTGATACCGCTATTATGAGACTTTTATCTTCACTTTCTCAAATGTTCCAACCATTTCGTGTACATTATAAAAGCAACGGGGCTGCTAGTTTTCGATGAAGCTAGCTCAGCATGACAGACAAAGAAGTGTTGTTGTTCTATAGAATCTTTTTTCTGTGGCAAAAATCATTATAGTGAAAGCCTATTTTTCCATGAAGCCATAGCTGTCTGGTAATGTTTAACGTGTTTGCATATTTCACAAAGGCAAGTCTTAGCATATTCTTTGCCATGACAAAGGTAGACCTGCATCTCGCAAATGTTTTATTTTGGATAGAAGGGCTCCTTCTCTCACTAGTTCGTCTGCCGTGCAATTGCTTGGAGTGTCCGGGCACACAAACTCTGGCAGTATTGCATATAACCGTGAGTTTTCTCAGTTTGCTTCTATATTTCATAGCCACTTTAGATGTTGTACTGTTACACTATAGAGATCTGATGGCAGCTTGACTATGGGAATTTATAGTAACTGATATTCCTGCTCTCTCATTATTGAGAGCCCGCTTTTTTAGCGCCTGTAAAGATTGGTATGGCTTCTTGATCGAAGGCGTTTGTTTTCACTAATTCATTCCTGCTTGGGATTCTTGTCGAAGTAATCCGTTGGGTCATTTAGGTACATAGAAAAGAGAGCTCGATTCTAAGTTACACAAAATGAAGCATCTACATCTATCTGGCTTCGTTCATGCCAAACAAAAAAAAAAAATAGAAAAGGAGTTCAGTATGCATATAATATTTTGGAAAAAGAAAATTATGTTTGTAC